TGCACTGACTCCCATAATTTTTTCTGGATATTTGAAAGAATATTTTTATTTTTCCCTTGTAATATGAAATCCAACTATTACCTTATTCTAATATATCTTCCATATTAAAAATCTGCTTGTGCTTGTTATTCTATCCATTAACCTATATAATCTTGCATCAATCCCACACTGATATAACTGCAACTTAATAAAGTATCTAAATACCTAGTTGTATAATTGTCACCCTTCCCATTACCCTATTTATAATAAGCTATGCATGGGACACATCCAGTTTATTCTATCAGTGACTATATCCAGGGTAGATTCTACTTTTTGGGTTTTATCATAATATCACGACTAGGGAGTGAAATAGCAGTCAACTTAAGTTTCATGAATTTGTGAAACAGTACTAATTTCAATTTCATTTTATAAGTAGGTCCATAAATCGTGAGTAACCATTAAGTATAAAGGAAGGTGTTATTGTGACTTTATTAATCTTTATCAATCTAAAATTTTCTCAAGTCAACCAGTAAATCATTTCCTTAAGAACCTCACATATTGGAATGACTTGGTAAGATTAGAGTTCTTACTAACCATACAAATATAATTAGTTGGGAGGTACTGCTGATGTCTGGACTTTTAACTGCAATGTTAAAATGCCAGACATTACACTTTTCATAATCTTTTTCTGTAAGTTTCAGGTATATCTCAACATACTGAGAGAATAATATTTGCAGTCATATTTTTAAAAGCTTATTTTTTGGCATATCATTTCTGTTATATTCAGTGGCTATGCTTTTAATATTTACCATCTTTTAAATACTTTGATGCTGTCTTTTCTCTTAATATATATCTGAATTTCACAGTATTATCATTGTAATGGAGATGGAAAATGAAAACATAGAAAGAAAAAGATTTAACTCAGAACCAAGGAGAAAAGTGAAGCTATTACAATAATCCAGGAAAGAGTTGGTGGAGATTTGAACCAAGTGATCACACTGAAGTGATGAAAACTGTTGAGCTATACTGACTCATGTATAGGTATTGAAGATGAAGCTGACAAGATTTACTAAAATACAAGACACAGGGTATGAAACAAAAGGTTTTATTTGTGGCCAAGAATGGAGAAGCTTAATTTTGGACATAAGTTTGAGATTTCTTTTATATATTCAAATGCAGGTGTTAAGTAGGCAGGTAAATATCTAAGTTTCAATTTGGGGGAAGCGATTCAGAGTGAAAATATGCTAGTTATCAATACATGGTTATTTAGTCATGGAATTGGTAACATCAGTTAAGGGGCAAGTATAAAGATCTGATGATTGAGCTTTGAGAAACAGAGGCTGAGGGTATAGAAAGGTTCCTAGAAAACAGACCATAAAGGAAGGCTTGCTTAGATAGCATGAAAGGAGGAAATGGGGATGTTCTGGAAGAGACAAGAGTGGGAGAGGGTTGAAGAGGTCAATGTATTCACATACTGCTCACAGATGAGGGAGGATACAGAGAACTGATTGTTCAATTTAGCAAACAAGGTTCTTGCTGCTCAACAAGAGTGGCTGTGAAAGATAAACAAGGCAATGGTCTTGGAATACAAGAGATACATGGGAATTGTTTTTAAGATGTGTAAATTAGCTGATCAAGGCTCTCTATCAAGGGAAAGGATCACATACTGGGAAACACTAAGATTGGCCAGGCTGGAATTCATGTTAATAAAAATGGAGGCTTTTTATAAACAGATCCTGGCTTTTTTATTTTGGCTATAAATATGGAAATAATCCACCTACGGTAAACTCTTTAAAAGAAATACTGATAATGATTTCTTAAAAATTGTTTTCAGAGCCCTGCCTGGTGGCGCAGGGAGTTAGAACGTCGCACTGCAAGCTAGCGCAGCTGCTTCAATGTGAGTTCCATCCCCCGCCCCGGAGGTGACCCACAAGGCGTGGCACACAGCCCTTTCCTGACCTGCCCGCTGCTCCCCTCAGCAGTGTACTTTGTCTATCTGCCTGTTCTGACCCCAGCTCTGTCTCTGGTACATCCTCTCACCTCCCCTACACCTCTGGCTTGTACTCCAGCTCTGTATGCTTAAATATTTTTTAAGAAAAAAAGTTTAAAAATTAAAAAAATTGTTTTCATTATTAGAAAATTTTCTCAAATGTCTTCTAAATAATGTACAAGAGGTATCAGTGAAAAAGCTAATGTACTAGGTGAATCAAAAATAAAAAAAAAAAAAAATAGGCCCTCCCTGGTGGCGCAGTGGGTTAAAGCACTGCACTGAGAAGCTAAAGCCACTTCCCGCCTGCCCAGGAGGTGACCACATGGCGTGGCATACCTCTCCTGACCCACCCCGCTGCTCCCCTCAGCAGTGTACTTCGTAGATCTGCCTGTTCTGCTCCCCGCTCTGTCTCTGGTGAAGCCTCTCGCCGCCCCTGAGCCTCTGGCCTGTACCACAGTTCTGTATGTACAAATAAAATAAATCTTTAAAAAAATAAACTTTGAACGTGAGAATTTTGTCTTACACGTGACAGAAACATTGCTAGGTAACAACAAATTCCTTTTAAAAATATCATGTAGATTCCATATTAATGCTCTAGAAGAGCATTTTAAAAAAGGATTTTATAAATAAGAAAGGATTTAAATAAACTTCTAATTAATCCATTACATATTTTATAGCTCATACCCCCCATACTGTATTGTTTACATTACTTTATGGAAGATTTACTGCTGATTCACTCCATTAAAGATACTCCAATGGATTTCATTAAAAGACAAATATGACTTTAAGGTATATTCAAATACATGTATCTTAAACTTCATCAGCCCTCAAAGTTACCTCAAACATAGCCAAACTTAATATTTATAATTTGTGAAATAGTTGTCAATATTAATTCACAGGGTTATTGCTTTTTTTTTTTTTTTCTCAACAAAGGTAGCTGTTGGGTTGAGCCAAATGGAATTGCTCTTTTTTTTTTGTAGGTTAAAAATTGGTAATTTATCAGTGATTTAATACTGTTAAGATACAGTATTTGTGTGACTGCCCACACAAAGTCCTAAATCTAAAGGGTGAGGGGCAATTTACTCCAAAAGTGAAGCATTCTCTTAGAAAGTGCACATTCATTGACAAGCTAGCTTTTCCCCCTGTTCTATTACATAGGAAGTTCTTCTGTAGGTTTCACATTTGATTTATTTCTCCTTAGTAGTTTACAACTTGGTAAAAAATAAAAACAAACATGCTTACGACTATTTTTACCAAGCTTATATGTGTCCTATATTAACATTTAAAATAAAGCATTTGTGGAGTGAAATTATAGTTATCTTTAACTTAATGGTCAACTTAAAGTAGAATGATAAGGTTTATTATCTTACACCAGCACCTAAAAAGCAAGTAATAGGACTTAACGCACAGACTCAGTGACTGGTTTCAACTGAAGGTTCTGAATATTTATTGCTGAACTGGCTAGCCACAAAAATGGGAAGGTTGGTAAACTTAACAGCGAAGGACTACAGTAGGTTTGAATCAAACAAGTACCTTCTGGGCCAGATGGTAGATTTCTCAGTATGACTTACACCACAAAATATTGAGTTGAAAGAACCTTTGTCGTTTTACTTAATTTTTAACAAACCTAAATATTCTGTTAAAATATATATATATTTTTTTCTTGCTGGATGGTATGACTGAGGAATGCAATCTGACTGAACAAAAAAATATTAAAACATACACCACACACTGATGCTAGCACAGTGGCAACCTCCGCCACAATAATCTCTTATCTATAAAGACAGTAAGAAAAATCACCTTTTCGAAAGAACAAACTGGCTAAAGCGGAACCGAAGAAAATTGGGAGCTTTGGCAAGATCCACCTACCATTGCGTGGATCTTGAAATGCTGCTGGATATGTCCAAGGGGGCTGGGGTGAGTGGCGGAAGCTACCTTGCTCCGTGAAATGCACGTTCAACACTGAGGAGGGGCCCACTTAAAAAGGCAGAGGTAGAAAAGCCTCACCTGTGGGCTAGGTGTATTCTGTGCACAATGATGGGCACGTGGGGGCGTCCACCATGGCAACACCGTCAAGCAGGTGGAAATCAAGATGATTGGCCATTATCTGCAAGAATTCTCCATCACCTAAGTCTAAGCCCCATTTCTCCTGCTTCATCCCCTTCAAGTAGCCTATTGGCCACTAAAGGCACAGACCTCTAATATTAAAAAGTATAAAGGAAAACATACGTAAGTAGGATACATCTTAATTACAAATGCATTATATTTAAATCAAAAGGTTATTATCTATAACTATGTAAAACTATGCTGTATATTAAATAAGGGCATGAGATGAAGAAACAGGGCTAGCCAATTAAGGTTTTTAAGGTTGAGTTTAAGTAGGAAAGAACATGAAATATCCGCTTGGAAATCACTATTGAAGAAATAGGGCTTCCAAAAAAACAAGGAAATGCTGGTCTTCTTTCTTTTTCAATTGCTTCACTGGGAAGAATCTTTTCCAGGTGATAAAACTTACAAGCTAAATTAAAATGCACTTTACTCATTGGCAAGCCACACCAGCAAGAATAATGTGATCACAGTAGTTGGAAGTTTTGATTTATAACTATACTATTCTCTACTTATAAATGCTGCAGTCTAGGAGGCAGAGCAATGAATCATTACAATTGTCTATCTGGGAAATGTCAAAAGATTAAGTAAAGGCAGAAGAAGAGAAGAAGAAAGAACACACATTTCTACCCAACAAATATTCCTGAGTTAATGGGAAGTTACCACTGGCACATAAATCCAGTGCTGAATAATTATTTAAAATCTTCAAGAAAAACTAATAAACCATAAAGCTTAAATTCCCTGATTATAAAAGGCAAGTTGTCTTCAGAAGCTCTGATAACTTAATCATTCCATACTCAACTATAATAATGATCTACATACTAAGGATCTGAAAAAGCAAATTTAAGCTAAGGAAATGAATTACAAATTTGAACTAATCATTAAATGGATCAAACTTTTTTTTTTTAAAAAAGAACACATATAGTTTAATTGATACTTTGCCAATACAAAAATAAGCATCCACAGAATGTTTATTTACTGTTTAAATTACTCCATATCTTTATATACCATGAACAGAAAATATATTTTACCCCACACACAGTAAAAGCAAACAAGTGCAATCTTTCAAACATTAAAAGTCATAATCAAATCTGTACAACAGATAAATAAATTTATACTTCTAACAGTTAGCCTGTAACAAAACAAAATGAAAATAAAACATTACCCAAAATCACCAGTTTACTTAAAATTCTATCTATGGTCACCATTTCAATCATAACAGTTTGAATCTTTACTACACTGCACAAGTTTACAGATTGATAAATATTTTTTTTTCAAAAGTAGGAGGGAGTAATAGGAAATACCAAAATGGTTATAAAGAGTTTTCCAAACATTGGAAATAATATACAAAAATTAATTAGTTGGGGGGAAATATCAAATGGATCCACAGGGCAAACAGAATATACCGATATAACTTAAGGAAAAGGAACAAGGTGAATACTCGAGTTGGGAAGAAAATTTGGCCTTTTTATAAAAAGAAACAACAAAACAATGACAGAACCCTGTCATGGAGCCTAGAACAACTGTGAGAAAAAGCATACATGATTTAATTTGTGTATCTGAAAACCACAGTTGGGAAGAAAAATCAGATTGGGAAACACAGAACATCAGAACATGAATATATATAAATTAAAGGCATACTGTTTATCGTTCCGTATCATTGCACATTGGTAAGAAAACAATACTGCAGTCATTCTTGAGTAAGAAAATGTTTTCAATGAAGTAGGAAGTTCTGTGATGAATATAGGTGTAGACAATCTTATTACCACAAGTTTAGTAAATATCAAAACACTCAGTGGTGTCACTAAACTAAATTATCTGTATTTTTTACTGGCAAGGTAATTCTTTACCTGCCATCACAAGTTAACAAAAAAATCATTTTATAAATTGAAATACAGATCCAGTAGAAAACTCTTTTCACATGCAATCCTGTACAATGCACTCTGCATCAATTTTTTTTAGCATTTCACACCAGATACGTGTATTTGCAATATAAAACAACCACTTTTCCACAGATGTCACTGAACTGTCCTCTTGCCACTCAAGTTTATATTTACATATACATTTATAGATCCAGATAGATGCTTTCCTCCTCTAGGCACCCCGAAAGTTAGCCTGAAGAGCTTAGTGTTTTTTGGATGTTAGGAATCTAATGTCTTGATTTGTCTTGAATTGATGATAAGATGAGGAGTCCACAAAAAAATGCAGCTACACATGCTAACCTTTTCAACAGAGATGAGTTATCCTTAGGAATAATAATCTGTGCAAGATCATTTGTGATCTGAGAAATTTCATGTGCCACACAAACAAATATGAATGAGCTGACAATGATGTTGAGCATAGGGTTTCCAGGTATGAGCACCAGGATACCCCTTGTGTCCGCTGCCAGCCATATGTGATATTGGCAAATAAACAGCTAGGAAGAAAAACATTTAAAGTTAGATATAAATAAATCAGTGTTTCTTACTTTAAACATTTCACAGCATAGCTAACATTAGCAAACTTTTCCAAAACCATGACATTCACTCTTGGTCCTGAAAAGTTTCTTGTAGTATGCTCTCCAGAACCCCTACTAAAGAAGCACTCTTCAAAGTTCTCAAGAAATGAATCACATGGATCTAATTTTAAAAACCATTTGTTTGCATGACATAGAAAACAGAGTGACAGCTATATCCATGTGCTCAAACCCCAAATAAAAAATTACTACATATGTATGTACCTATATATAATTGCATGCATTGCACAAGGGCATGTTTGTGAATGTATTTGTGAATGTGAATAAGAAGTGGGAAACAACAAGGTTTTAAAAGTCATTCTCATGTTTGTTCTGCCTGGTGACACATAAATGTCTGGAATTGCACTCACGTGTTTCTCAAGTGCAGATGCACTGCTATTTGTGTATATATGAGTATATACATTAAACAACACCAGTAATTCTTTTGATTGTGATTGCAAATGGATTCTTTCCTCACACTGCTGTGAGGTAGCAGTGGCGCACAAGGTGCTATGCTGGAGGATGACGGGGCCCTGTGGTGTGGGAGCATACACCTGAAGAGGCAGGAAACGGTATTTCTGAATCATACAGTATTGTAAACCAGCATTACCTTGAAAAATTATTAAAAAAAAAACCAACCGTAGTAGTAGGAGAATAGTGAGTAACTTCCACAAATATAAGGACAATGGAATTTTCCTATTTTATTTATTAATAAAAATAAATAAAACCTCAGACCCTCCCTGGTGGCCGATGGGTTAGAGCGCAGCACTGCAAGCTGGCCACAGCTGCTTCATTGTGAGATGACCCACATGGCACGGCAGACCTCTCCTGACCTTCCCGCTGTTCCCCTCAGCAGTGTAATTTGACCATCTGCCTGTTGTGCTCCCCTCTATGTCTCTGGTGAATCCTCTCACCACCCCTGCACCTCTGGCCTGTAACCAGTTCTCTGTGCATAAATAAATAAATCTTTAAAACTAAGTGAGTACGTAAATAAATAAAACCTCTCATTTCCAAATATTAAGGGAATGGCAAAATAAATATTACTTTGTCTACTAAATGAAATGGTAAGTTTTTTATGATCAGCAATTTCAAATTATATATAATTGCTCTTACAAGTAAGCCTAAATAAACTACAGAACATTTAATCAAGAATTGAGAAATTTATTTTCCATCATTCAAAGACAATTTAATTTCTCTTTAAAACAGTCTAAAAGATATTTTATGATTATTAGTTTTCTGTTTTAAAACATCCTGTTTCAAATAATAAGCTCAGAATACTCAGAATATATTTAAAAATCTACCTTAAAATGAGTTTATAAATACTTTATTATTAGGTATTACACAAAATGTAATGAGTTTAAAAATTTTCTTACTTTCTAATCATAAAGGTGCATTTTATTATAAGCATCAATAAGATAGATTCCAGAAATAAAACACTTGGTTATGGATACGAAACAAGTCAAAATAGCCTCAGTTTGACTTCATGTAAATTTACTTATATTATTTATCTCTATCATTTTTTTAATCTCTTGGTCTCAGCATTTTAGTTATGCTTAAAAATTTGAGATAATATAAAGAATATTTTGAAATTCAGTTAGAGCAAATATTTTAAAAAGGATTCAAAAATATTCTACAATGATTAATTATTAAAAGTTCTGTGTTATTTCCCCACAACTCTATAGATAACATAGCTTTGATTTAAAAAAGGTCTGTCAGACTTATATGAACACACACACACAGAACATTAAATATATGAGATCGAGCAAAATATTAATGTACCAACCTCTAAGGAAATTTTTCCAAACCAAGCAAAAAATGAACTGTAAACTGAACGGGCATATCCAGGGATATTCCTTATTAGGATGAAGGCTAATATCTAAAGGAAAAAAAAAAAAAAAACAAGGGCAAATATTAATCTTTTATTGAAAAAATATTTTCCATATTGTTTTCCTTCAAAAGGTAATTTTATGATCTTGACTAGATATATGTCCAATGGCTTTTTTCAATAGGTGAGGTACACTGTCTTTTTGTGTCCATAGAGAATTGGCTTTAAGACATTCTATATCCCTCATCAGAACATCCAGGAACTATCCTAAGTCAATCACTTTTCTTCTTTCCACCTTGGTCACTCACTTCCCAATGCGTATTTATTTCTTTAGCAAATCCAAGTCCTGCACTCTGTCATATACTTAGTGAACAATTTGATAAGAGAAGTAGAAAATCAAAGAAATAATACCCGTGGAAAAGACAACTGTGTATGGGGGTGGAGATGTTTTGCTTATTAGTCTGATACAGAAATAATAATAATGCTTCTAATGTGTTCAACATTTGTATTTTATTGAGCACTGAGCTACAACACTTAATATACATTACATTGTGGTTAGTTGCCTGTATATTGTTCTTTAGGGAAGCCTTCCCAGACATTTCTATCCAGATTGATGGGCAAAAACATAGTTCAGGATTTGAGGATAGATGCAAAAAGCTGTTTGCTGGGTCATGCTGGAAAAATACTTCCTAACAGGACACTAAGAATCTAACAGGACACTAAGAATTTTGTATATGCTTATAATCTTAGAGAAGCACACTTAATAAGTACTTAAGGATTTATAATTATACATGTTAGTTTTAATGCAATTTCCATGTAATTATATTCATATTCACTATTGTTGTCTACAGAAGTCATGAAAATCAGTGTCTTGTACACTTCCCAAACCCTTATGCTCACACCCCACACCTACACCATCTGTGAACGGAATGAGTAGTAAGAATAAGGTTATACCCTGTATCACTTCTGGCTACCTGGCTGCTTTCTAACTTTCACAAAGAGGGACAAGTACCCTTGATAAGAAGTACCAACTTCTAGCTTCAGCTTTAGTTCCAAGTTCTTTCTTTTCCTTTAGATTCTGCAGTGGATAAAATAAGGCCCTCAAAAAAGTAACCAAGGAGCTATAAATATATTTAAGATATGAATGTATTCGAAGGTAATAAGGCTCAAGAGTGCTTATGGGAGTGGTAACCTATGTGTGGCCACATTCTCCCTTAGCTTTCCTTCCACTGTTCTGTTCAGCCTAAGTAATGACTTTTCTTTCAATCACGTGAATTACAGAAATATTAGCTGTGATAATAAAAAAAAATTAATAGAAAGTATTATTGCTGTCTATGGAAGTCATGAAAATGACATATGAAGATAGTATAATGTTTAAAGTTTCATTATCATTGTGTTCAGAGAGTCGATTACATGCCTGGTGTCAATGATTAGCCTCATCTTAGAGGCTAGCTTCTCTAAGAACCCTGTTCTAATAAAAAGATGGATTAGGAAGAAATTCCATGTGTTTTTAAGGCATCCTACATCACAACCTAATCACAGTGTACCATGGTAATATCCAGGACCACAATTATCTCTGCAAAATGTAAATCTGATTTGAGTTGCCCAAGCTGCTACCAATCTCCCAGTCGCTACTGCACAATTCTGACTCTCTGATCAAGTTCCAGTGGCCAAAATTCCTTTGAATGTGCCATCATCCTTTTGATCAAAAGGCATAAGGACTTGGCCTGCTATGTCTTCAATCCTCTATTCTCAGCTTGGTTTTCTCAAGGGAACCACTGTAACTCCAACTAAGTCAGATTCCCTGACTATATTTCCTTATAGCATCATTTACCTCTGTTTATAATTATGTGGTGTTTATGTAATTACTATCTGTCATAGACTGAAGGTGCTCTGAGGGTTGGAACCATGATTTTGTTACTGCTGTATCCCTCATCATAATATCTAACATATAGAAGATACAAATATTGGTTAAATGAGTCAAAAACTTGATAAAGGAATAATGAGTGTTTATTGATCTGTACTGTAGGAACAGTATTGTTGTTTAACATTTAGCCTCTTACCTGGTACTGTATTTTGCCTAGCGAAATATATAGCATACAAGTGATACCTATTATTAAATAAATTTGAATAAACGAGTTACTGTTTTCTAAATGACTATCAAGTGATAATATTGATCATTTCCATAAACCTGATAAATTCTAATGTGCCTATTAAAATAGAGGAAAATTAAAGACTTTAGAAAGATGAAGCAATAATCCCAAATTTTCTGGAGTTTGACCTCAAATTTCTCTTCTTCTGAAGATTGAGTTCTTTTGAAGAATTAGGAGAAAAAAATTCTTGAGATCAAGGTAATTACCTGTACCACAGAAACAGATGGGTGGAGTTCATTGCACTCTGCTTTGTTTTTACAACTGCTAGCCCAGATGGAGTAAGTCTAAACAAAATAATATATGGGTCATTGCACAAGACAATTTTAACTTATGAAGGCAATTCTCAGCATTTAAAAAATAACCTGCTTTATAACATTATACTTCATTTTGTTATTTACAAAGTTTCAGTATAAATAATCCACTTTTTGGGTTTCCTCACTACATGTTTTGGGTATTCAAATATCCAAATATAAAAAAAATAAAAAAGACATAGTATATAGTTTGAATGTCTTATGGAAATAGTAATTATAAGCCAGTAATGGTTTTTCATATCAACACTTTACATTGCTTTTTCTGGAATTTATTGGTTTTTAAAATTTTTATTTCATTGACATCTCAGTTCATTTTAAACTTATATATGTAAATGTTTATATAGGTAACTGCATATTAAATTTGTATATGTAAATGCTTATAAGTATTTTCAATTAGAATAATAAAGTAAAAGTAACTTTAAAAGACATATTCAAAACAACTGATTAAATTGCTATTTCTTAAAATTAATTTCCTATTATCACTTAGGATCTTGGGAAATTATAAAATTATATTTTGAAACTTACCAAGAAAGAAACTACTGAAATAAACAATAAAAAATTTGAAATTTTGTTTGAAAAAAGAGGTTCACCCTTTCCTTCAGAAAGTACTTGACGCTTCTGTAAAGCCAGATAAATGAAAGCAAATAGCATTCCATGAAAGACTACCTGAAACGTAAGGAGGAAAAATTTGTTTTTAACTTCTATTTTTTGATACATAGTAAATATTTGGTAAATGAGGAAAATATATACAAAGGTAAGTAGCTTAAAGACTTAAAGGCTCACACTTTTAATCAAGGATTAAACTTCAAGAAATGAAACAAAGCCAAAGATGTTAGAAATCATCAGCAAAGACAAACAGCATCTCTAGTAGTATGAGGTATTTTGATCAGTTACAAGTAAAGAAATAAACACATTAAAAAAATAAGAAGAAACTGTTCTAATTACACATGACAAAATTTAAATGTACTCAGTCAGTTAAAACATTTGATATATTTTTGATCAAACAAAAAACAAAACAGTAATGCCAACACTCATACTTTTAAAAAGAAGTATATGCACATTAAAGCGAAAAAAATATGGACAGTTAGAAAGACTAAATATTAACTATCACATTATAGCAGACAATTCTAATAAGACAGTTGAAAATTTTTAATTATTTGATGTCAAGACTTCAGCGAAATTTTTTATCATAGTTTTGATATACAATGTAGTATACTAGAAAGTGCACAGGCGTTGAAAGCCAGGGATGGCATACAGTATGCACTAAAAGAACATTTTTTGAATGAAAAAAAGGAGGAAACAAAAGATGGAAAGAATAGGAAAGAGTGTGTAAAAGATAATTATTATTTATTCAGTATTATTTTTTAAATACTAGACTATTTATATATTGTCAGCTAATTGAATGTTAACCATCCCTTAAGAATAAATTCAGGGAATCATCCATGACATGCGTTCGTTCCTCTGTACAATTCTACTATAAAGTTTATAATACACATTTAGCACATGATTTGAAGTAGTAATACTGGGTTTTAAAATAGCCTGGAAGGTTGAAAAGCCTGGTGGTATGTCTTCTTTCTCCAACACATCCCTCACAATAGAAACCTTTAGAACATATATGGGAACTCAAAAAATATGGTGTTGAGAGGCTGGAGCAAGCAGATGAAGGATCATCTATATATCAAAATTATAACCCACACAAAGACCACTGTACAGACAACAATTTTATGTGCATTTCCTATTCAGACACACACACACATGCATAATATGGACCCTTATATATCCTTTAATTGCTATTAAAAAAGAAGGGGAAAGGCAGCGCTGCTTTGATTTAACAAATCAACATGTTTTCTTATTCTAAGACTAATATAATAGATTAAAATTTTCCATATTATTTTTTTAAAGTATAATTTAAAATGGCAAAATATCACAAAGTAAATACATACGTAACGGTCTAACCTCCATCTGAACCACCATTCATATACATTTCCTTTTAGTTCAAAACACTTGGACAGTGGCCAAAGAGAAAAGATCTTCTCAAATGCACCCTGAGAAAAGCAATCAGAAAATAAATTAAGATGGTACAAGTCAATAAACATTTTTCAATTCTGTAAATTGTAGACTTCTATAGCTAGGACTGTGTAAGAGGCATTCATAGTTATAAAATCCTATTAATTTCACTTAAAAATATCAATTTACTTGAACTTCATTTAACAATGAATTAATTCCATTAGTGATTAATAAGGATCACTTAAAACATCATTGTTTTAACTTAATTTCACTGATAGGAAAGGCTGAGAATGTATATTAAAAAAAAGTAATTGGAAAAATTATACTAGTCAAGATTTTTAAATCTACTACAGCTGTTTTAAAAAACAGCTACTATTTACTAATCAAAACACAAAAATACAAAATACTTCAGTCAATATGATATAAATAGCCTAAGATATTATGGCTAAGCTTAAAACAAAGTTTTTCCTTTTCCAAAAACCTTAATAATCAATAGCTAATCATTAGTGTAAAAGAATCCTTTGAATTTGTCAGTTATTTAACCAATCAAACCCAAATATCATTACTGCTTTTTGAGGTAAATCTTGCAATTTTTTTTTTGTCTGGTCAAGTTACTGAATGGTACCCTCTCATTAATCTGACAGCCTGGAACATCTGGAAATGAAAGCCTAAGTTTTGGGTACAGTGCTGCACATTAATTAAGTCTTTCAATGCAGAAAACAAAACCTTCAATTCCAGATTAAAAAACTATGACAATCTCCATTAGAAAAACTTCATTATTAGATCTCATGCCAGAAAATAAAATCTGTAACATCACAATTTAAGAGTCTAATAAAAAGCAAAGAACAAATATGAAAACAGTACTATATTTGGGGTAATGCTCAATCCTTAGGTCAGAAGATCTTACTATTTTAATAAATACAATATTCACTAACCACAGAATTGGCATATAGCTTATTAAAAATAGGTTCCATAAAGACTATGCCTCAGAAGAATAAGAATGACTCTTACCAAGAGTAGCAATTTAAAGTTACTTAGTAAGAGCCGACATATATATTTATGAAATATAGCAATATGATATAGGATAAATCGTCTAATATAGGTCATGTATATAATATATGCATCATATATATTATGTATTTAAACTGAAAAGGTATTACCGATGAAATTTCTTATGTGACCAATAAACAAATGTTAACTGTACATCCATTTTGTGAAAGACACTGGGCTATACTGGGCTATGTTCTCTTTTGTGTCAAGTAGTCAACTGGATACAAGTCTCCTCTATTTAACTGCTGATCTTCCTTGCTTTCTCTACCACAGAGCACTGGGCACTTTAATGAATAACTTTTAAACAACTGTAGTTACCTGGCTATTTCTTTATACCTTAGCCAACTGTTTCCTTGTTATTTTATTTATCGCCTGTAAAAACACCTTGGAGGTAAGGCAGAAATATAAATGTTTTCTGTATTTCTACGTATGAAAATAAGTGTAAAAGCGATTACTGACACACACAGACCCACAAACACACACAATGCTCACACGGCATTTGCATCTAATGCAGTCAGGTACAAGACAGAGAATTTTGGAGACAGGAGTAATGAGAATATGTCACAACTATAGGCACTCAAATTAAAATACTTTGTTATCAATCTCATGCTGCCCAAATAGTATGTCTGCCTGATAGGTCTGACCAGCAGGTAGCAGTTTGCCACCTGTGAAAGATAGAGATAGGAAAATAACCAACATTTTATGAAATTAAACATACTAAGTATACACAAACCCCTTTACTCCAAAGTTGGTTTTACTAACTACTAAAATTTTACTCTATGCAGTAATGAAAAAAATCAGGTATCACTTTGATGCAATGAATAATGCACAAACCAAGTTGCAAATCCTGTCAAGAAAATTTTGATCTCCACTTAGAGTAGTGTCTTATAAGAGGTATTCAATAAATGTTTGATTGATCAAAGTCAAGTAAAATGGATTTTGAACAATTGCCAGAGGAAGAGCTTTAAATTGCTCTTACAACAAAAACAGTGGTAACAAAAGTAGATAGGTCTCAAAAGAACTACACTGAGTAGTCAACTATAGAGTGACACTTTTATTACAGTCATTAAAAAATGAAGCTTGAAAAAAGCTCTGACTCTTCCTACATACTGTAATAGACTTGAACTTTAAAAGAAAATAGAACAAAATATAAACCAAAAAGACTGTACAAACCTGAGAATATGCCAAAAAACATATACATAACAGCAAGAAGGCTAGTTTCAACAGTAAGCCAAAATGCCAGAAACAATTTCCTATGAGAGAAAATATTTAATTTACTAAGAAATGTAAATTTATGTTAGAAAACAACACATGCTTTTTTCTACTTAATGTTTTTAGATTTTGCATAGTTCTTAAAATAATTTAAGATTGCTTGTAAGATAACACAAAATATATCTAAGTCATAAATGACAAGTAGAACAAAAAAGGCAAAACAGAGAGAGGATCCTCACTAGCAGTGCGGCTGTACAATATAACTGACACTCTATATACCTGTTGTTCATCTACTGTAAAAGTATTTTACAAAATCTCTTGGGTTCAATTATACTTATTCATTATTAAAAGTTACCAACAATTCTGAAACATCATTTCAGTATAGTGCTAACTCTCATGTTTAATATAACCTGGGCAATGTTGCTTAAATAATAATGCTCTAAGGACAGCTTCAGAATTCCCTAATGGACTAGCACTTAAGCAAAAAATCTGTTTTGACATGTACATATTTTAAGTTATTTGCTCACAGAGTTTATACAGATTGACTGTTTATTTGATTACTATGCTAGGTTTTTATGGAGAAATTTAACTACAAAGACTGTCTGAAGACATTACTAAAATTCATTAAAGGCTAAAACTCAATTCTTTTCTGAAAAATTAATATTATAATACTGGAAAATATTTTTTGATATACAGTATTGGGTAAAAAGTCAAGTTAAATATATTTAAAATATTTTTATTCTAAAAAAGGAGTGGGAAGCTTTTATTTTAATGTAATTGGGGGAAGTATAAAGATAATCTTAATGAGTAACTTTGAACATTATCAGTAACTAGTTATATGAAATTTGAAGATGACAACTTCTAGGAGCTGATGTTTCCTTATATGTAAATCAGACTGATAGCTGTTTTAAGTACTTTCTAAAAGATACAAAATGTCAGTGCTTTTAAAAGTGGTTTGATTTAAGAAGCCTCTTGCAAAGGAATGTTTAATCAAAATATCTATCTATCTATCTATATGAAATGAAATAAAGCAGAAATGCTAAGACTGAAGCAGGATGTAGGGTCTGGAACTCCAATTGGCTTTGACATTTCTCTTCTACTTCTCTCCAATCTGGGTCTCTACAAGATTGTTTGAAAATTGTTCCATTATTGAATACATAAAATGGTTTTGAAAATTTTAAGTTTAAAAAGGGAAAATACACACATACAATATAAATGCAAACTATTATTCCACATTGTTATATTACTTGAACTACTTAGCTGTAACACTTTGGAAACATAATCTAAGAATAAAATGTCGAAATGTCAAAACTACACATGAATTTAAATTGTCTACATGTCTCAATAAAAATGATAGCCTTAAACAACGAAAATGAAATTTAGTACACTGAAAGAATAATGTTATTAACATTAATATAAAAGTTTTATTTACCGTTTGCTTTTTTTTGGATTATTTGTGGCCAAAGTGCTAAAGTAACATATATGACCATGAACCATACAGTGACCAGAGGAACAAAGTAATAGAACTGATAAGGCCGATCCATGACTATACATAATACCACTACCAGGAAATTGAGACGAAATAAGACCTGTTAAAAAGGAGAAGAAAATGGTTTTCACTCCAGATACATAAGAAGAGCAAAGACATTCTCTAACAGAGTAAAAATGCTTATAGAAGTCTGAAAAAACTGTACATTTTACAAACCTAAAACTGCATTTGTTCAATAGTCACTGTAAAGACCTGAATATAAAATATTTATGTATCATTATATTAACTAAATCCCAGCAAACATCAGCCTGAGCATCCTCTGGGTCCAAATGCCATCTTGTTACATGCAGCGAGAATCACAAACCTCTTTCCTAGAGCTTCAGTTTATAAATAGAGATTAGATTACCCCAACAAAAGGGTGTCCATTTCATCTCTGTTTGATGCTGATTTACCACATTTGGGATTAAACTGAGACTTGTCGAAGATACAAAACCATGTTACTCAAATTACAAAGTGTCTTTGGGACTTTTATAAGTCATTTCAGACAATTGTGTAATGTCACTCAAATAACAGAGCAGATTGACATCAGAGTGTGCCATTTACTACTACGTGACTGTAGACAAATTACCCAGCCTCTCTGAGCCTCTGTGACCTTGGCTGTAAGTGTGAAGATCACTACTCAAGGTTCTAAGGAGGGAGAAATAAAATAACGATCAGAAACTGCCTGCCACAAGTTAGAAATTTAACAGATACTAACCTTCTAGAGGAAACATATTGTAATAATGCCTGGTACTGTACATTTCTACCAAACTGAAGTGAATCAGAATGTTGTCCCTTGGGTACCAGCTTTACCACATACTCATCTAAATTATATTTTCCTTTTCACAGTAACAAACTATATCAGATCATTGAACAAACAATACACAAATAACACACAACTTACATGTTATTTCATAAATTCAAATTATGAGTGGTCTTACAATGATCAACGTATTGAAAATAACTGAATGCATTCCTACCTGACATACTCTATGGATTCCAAAGTCTCCTTTGATCCAAAAGTATGAGAAATGCCCATACCCTGTCTGAAACAGATACGCAGCAACCAGAACCCGAACATGCATGTATACAGGCAAAAACTGTTGACAAAGAGAAATACATAAAATATACTGGCATTATACCTTCAACTATCATAACCAGTGCATTAACGAAGTTAACAGACTATTGTTACCACTTAGCACTAGCTAAATAAAAAAATTCAGTTCAAAAATAAGGGTATTAATAGTAGAGGTTAAGTTTTAGAATCAAATAGATCTAGATTCACTTTCTGGTTCTGGCATAAATTTGGGTTTTCTAAACTAGAAGACTATTACCACCTTCTTTGAAGCATTCTTGTAAGTTAATAAGTACTTAGTACATATTTAGTACTATTTCATCCATCAAACTTAAGTATATGCTAGCCATAGTTATTGATGCTTATATTTGCTAAGTAAAGGCCATTCTAGATTTCACATTTTCCCAGTGAGATGTAAAAAATAATAATAATAATAAAGTTTTGCCACACTGAATGAACAAATTTTAGACTTGTAAATGATAGTTACTAACACCATTTAGCAAAACTACATATTTAAAAATCATGCAAACATAACTTAGAAATATTACTTCTCTCCCACTCTTATATTATGAAACAATTTTATTTTACATCTCTACATCAACGTGTCATCATGACCAAGATTCTGAGAATCATTTAGCATGGTTTTTCAGAACACCACATTTTCGCTTCTATCTAGGTGGAATTAATATAAAACTTCTAATCTATATTTTATGGGAGTTAATGGAAATATTATCTCATTTACAAGTTCTAATTCTCACAACCTTAGAGAATTATTCTCATAACCTGAGAGAATTAGAACACTGTCATTCCATCTATCTACCACCCACTAGTCTTTTCTCATTTGTACAACATAACTTGTGCGTGCTTTTTAAAAATGATCCTTAAAAGGTTTGTTCAGTGACATCCAACCCTTGCAATTATAAGGCCATTCTTTTAGAGATAATTACTAAATCCATATAAAAGGTTTTTGGTTTCTATTTTATAGATGCTATCTGATCACCTTTCTAATTGATCAGTATTAACACTGCTTATTATTATATTATTCTAATACATATAATTATTTTTCTAATTATTCAGCATTAACACTGCTTAGACCAGTTAATGGGTCTTCCCCAAGTGATGCTTTATAGAATAAAGCAATTAAGCAGGCAATCTGAACTGATTCTATAAGGATTTGAATATATGTATCTTTTGTATATATTCGTGAATGCATGCCTGAATACATCTCCTTCTCTGAGGGATATTTTTCTGGAATGAAAACACTCCTAGATTTAAATAGGTCACAAATTATATAACCTCCACTCTCACCAAATTGTTAGGATTCTCTGTATCCTAAATGGAACACCTCCTGTGTTTTCCTGTCACTTCCCTTTTATTTACTGTTTTATTCTAGCATGGAATGTTCTAACTACATTTTGTTTATTCGAATGTTATCTTTCTTTAGAACACTGTTAAAAATTTCTGTTCTTTAAGTGCAAATGATAGACATTTCTTTTTTTTTTTCTGAGTTCCTATCAATCCGACCAATGTACATATTGAGCAAATTTTTATTTATTGTCCTTCATCATTAGTTCTTCCTAAATGTCGTATCCTTATATCAAAAAACTTCAGTGAAGATGTAACATATTAGAATCATAGGGATTAAGGTGGGAAATGTAGAACTGAAATAATATAGGCTTTATTTAAACAAAATCTTACCTCATTCTTGACTGTATTCTAAAATATTCCCTTCAAGTATTTGTTTGAGAAAATCTTAATAGCAGGAGACACACTAATTACCAAAGCAATCCTTTCCATTTTTCTGGTGGCAATTAACTGCTATAAAGTTCCTTTTTCATAACATGTTGAAGTCTAATTCTATGTAAAAGATACCAACTTCAGCTCCCTATGGCAATGCAGTACAACAAAAATAAAATGCAAACTCTTTATTTCTAATGTGACTGCCAGCATAAAAAGAAACAACTGTAACTAGTTTTAATAAATACATGTATTTATTAATAAATAAATAGAGTAAATGTATTTAACTCAATAGGCCCAAAACATTATTTTAATATGTAATATTTTTATTTTTTCAGTTTTTAATTTAGTATGGCATTTATACCCAATCTAGTACATTTTCACATTTACTGCACATCTCAATTTCAACTAGTTCCTCTTCAAGTTGTTAATACCATATATAGTTAGTGGCTACCATAATATAATAGGGTTGGTGTCTCCAAGTACCATATGTACAAGCTTAATCACTGATTCTTGACAAACTGAACTAACCACTATTACAACCATTTGCCAAGTTATGACTAGTGTTGGTTAGTACAAATTTTTTTTTAACTTTTTAAAAGAGATTTATTTATTTATTCATACAGAACTGGGGCTCAAGCCAGAGATGCAAGGGCGGTGAGAGGCTTCATCAGAGACAGAGCCCGAAGCAGAACAGGCCTAGTGATAAAAGTACACTGCTGAGGGGAGCAGCGGGCGGGTCAGGAGAGGTCTGCCACACCATGTGGTCACCTCTGGACCCGGGATCCAACTCAATTGAAGCGGCTGCAGCCAGCTTGCAATGCTGCATCCTAGCCCATTGCGCCACCAGGGAAGACTGGATTAGTACAAATTTCATGTGATAATTCTCTTACAATATTTTAACTGAGAGAAGTTACAAGAATGGTACAATAGAAACCTCTGTAATCCACTGACCCATTTAAACGTATGATTCACACTGCTATCATCCCTAAACTCTTTACCAAGTATAACCTTGCTAAAGAAAAAAGAATTACTGTTTACATGACTATTTAGTCACCACCATATGCATACATACCACATATTAAACTTAAGGGTTTATATATATATGATAATAATATCTACTGTACAACTTATATAAGGGTTCCCCCATATGTACCTGCAGTATCCTTCAGGGATTCAAATTTTTTTTGAATCAAGGAGTTTTGAGTTAGGGATCACAATTTATTTTTGTTGTTCCTCTTTAGACTCCTTTAATCCAAATTTTCTTTTTATATTTCATGAGTCAAGTATTATAGTATTTTAATATTAAAAGTATCCTTGGAATTTCAACTTCATTAGAACTAATAGCTAGGCTGACTACTGATTCTGTTCTTTTCTTAGTCTTACTAGATTTTTATTTAGGTCCCTTAATGGAATTATTTACAAACTCTGAGAGGGAAAAAATAAAACATAACTTCACAATGGAACATAAAATCATCAACTTTATATATATATCTAGTTTTCTTAACTCCCTGTTAAATTTACAATATTCATACATATTATATTTAAAGTATTTAATCCATATTTAATATAAACCATGTTTTAAAAATATTTATATCAACAATTACAATCTGCTAGACCACCTGGATTATTTTAATAATTCTCTAATTTTTATTACTACTTTAATTTCGATTTTAGTATAGAAACACATTTTACTCAAAATAGAAAACATTAAGATTAGGAAACTGAAATAACGATGGCAAATAAAAAGAGTTTTTAGGCCCTCCCTGGTGGTGCAGTGGGTTAAAGCATAGCACTAAGAAGCTAAATCCAGTTCAGCTTGAGTTCAATCCCTACCCTGGAGGTGACCACATGGTGAGGCAGACCTCTCCTGACCCGGCCGTTGCTCCCCTCAGCAGAGTACTTTGTCAGTCGACCTGTTCTGTTCCCCTCTCTGTGTCTGGTGAATCCTCTTACCGCCTCTGCACCTCTGGCCTGTACCCCAGCTCTGTATGCATAAATAAATAAATCTTTAAAAAAAAAAGTTTTTAGTGGGTATATTTCCTTAAATATCTAAGAATCAATGCCTCAAATAAGCTATAATCCATGATAGTAATGCTTTATTAGTGTAGATCCAGGTAATTTTTAACCACAAAATCCTATAAGAGAATCAGAAAATGTTAATTAATCATAACAAATGATCTGTTAATTTAAAGTATGTCCTTCCAGAGCATGGATTTTTAAAAATTATAATTTAGATGTATTGGGATGTAGTCTAATATGTATTAGAAAGCTAACTTGGCAAATGATTATAGTAGAATGCCAAATTGCCTTCATCTGTTTATGATCCAAGTATTCTTTGAATTCACTGAACTGAGAAACTTAATCTCTATTAATTTTTTGTACAGTTGTTATCACCCTTTAATATGTCAACAATAAATTATGTTTCTCAGTGGCATTATCTTAAAACACTTTTTTCATCAAATTAATTTAGTTTTTATTTGGATATCAGAGTTATTCCCAAGATTCAATATCTAGCTCTACTTAAATGTTAGACAATATACCAAATTTATCCCATTCTGAACAGATATTATAAACTAAGTCAACCATTTTCTTCTCTCCTTGTCCCAGTTCTCTTTTGCTATCTTTGTTATTCTATAATTGTTTGAAATCACTAGTTCTCCTTCAGCTGCAACACAGGAACTTTACTGCTGCCACAAATATATACATACATACATACATACATACATATATAGATATATACATGGCCTTGTGTTTTCAGTAAAAATTATAATTCGGCCCTCCCTGGTGGCGCAGCGGGTTAAAGCACAGCACTGAGAATCTGAAGCCACTTCCTCATGAGTTCAATTCCCGCCTGCAGCCTGCCCCGGAGGAGACCACATGGCGAGCCAGACCTCTCCTGGCCCACCCGCTGCTTCCCTCAGCAGTGTACTTCGTAGATCTGCCTATTCTGCTCCCCACTCTGTCTCTGGTGAAGCCTCTCACCGCCCCTGAGCCTCTGGCCTGTACCCCAGTTCTGTATGCACAAATAAATAAATAAATCTTTAAAAAAAAAAAAAATTATAATTCATCTCTCTGCCTTCCACCTTCAAACAAATTATCCACAAAACTACCAGAAATTCTTTTAAAATAATAGAGATGTAATGAAGAATAATATGATTTTCAAATAGTAATAAATGTATGAAAAACCTGCTATTGTTTACAAGCTTAACAGCAACTATGGAAATTTTAAAATATCTCTTACAGGGCAATATCTTAACTCAGTTGATCAGTGATTGAATTTACAGACATTTGCTTTATAACAGCAAATAAAGCAGTACAGTAGTATGCAAATTAAGAATAAAAATAAATTTCTTAAAATTTAAAAGTATTGTCCAGAAATTAGTATGCGGCTTCACTATAAAAAAACAAGTATGAAAAGTGGATACTAAAAAGCCAGGTTCGTCTTCAAAAAAGTTTTTTTAAGTGTAATGTAACTGAAGGTAGTATTTTTTCTACCTCTATCAAATCCAACGGGTCTTCAGACATGAGAATCCTAAGTTCTTCAAGACATGTAAGTAAAATTACAAAATGACTTGTCCAGATACAGAAAGCACTGGAAACCTTATAAAAAGGGTCCTCTGTTGCAGAAAAGGTAATACTTGAGAAATATGGCACATCATACATCAGTGACAAGCATTAGAGTCTGAGTTTTCTGAGCATGAAGTAAAGTAGTTCAAAGTTTTTTAAAATTTAAGGGTATACAAGAAGTTGGTCAAACTTTCTAAAATATGGTGGAGGGTACAATATAAAATACAATCTAACTTCATTTCTTTTGATAGTACCTTGTGTATTCTAAATCTTTAGAAATTGTCACCTGCAAAGTTTCTTGTTCAATAGTGAAGTGAATTACTATTCTTAGATTATCCGTTGTTTCTATTACATTAAAATTAAAGCAAATAAATAAAAATTTCATCTTCTGTTTAAAAAAATTCATTGTTCTTTTAATATTATATATTCTCAAAGATTCAGGAGAAGAAAGACTGGGTGGTAAATTAAGGTTTCTAAATGGAAGTGAGTGTAAAACACAAAAGAGCTGATTGCTAATAAGAAATATTAAAGTGACATTAATTCTGTATTTCTGTACTTAAATTCAAAATACTTACTGTACTTGCTCCAGAGATATGATAAATCAAAATCACAAGTTGCATCCAGCCTTTCCACTCATCTGTCTGTTCTCTATTTAGTACTTTAGTCTGTATAATAAAACCAAATTCTGTTTAAATTTCAAAATGAAGCTACTATTTAGAGAATACAATAACTGTGTTAAAATTTGTCTTTATGCTACAAAGCTGATGCTTCTGTTAAAGACCTTGGATGAAAAGCAGTTAAAGTGCCATTTTAGTTACTGATAAAAGATAAGTATATATTATTATATATCATGAAATTATAAACTAAATATTTACATTATATGTGTAAAGTATATTAATTTCAAAACTAAGATAAACTAAGGGATTTTAAATATTATCATTTATCTTAACATCAAACTTAAACTATAATCTAAAAGATGGCATTTTACAGTTTTAAGAAAACCTTAAAATTTTAGTTAGAAAAGATCTCAGAATTAGTTCTCTTCAAACTTACAGTGAAAATACAAACTCTTATTAGTGTTTACTTTCCCTGGCATATTCTTATTGAAGGGAAAGAACTAACTAACCATCTTCATATGAGAGCTAATTCTTACAACAGCAGTTAATTCAAGTAAATCACACCTTACAAAAGAAGTTACACAAATATGCTGAACACTGACAGAAACTCTAAATTATTCTAAAATAGAAAATTCAGAATATTGTGAGCAGCACCATGCTATTATGTAGGTTCCAATTTGTGTGAATATGTCTAACTGAAAAGATACATAAAATATGTAAGCAGAGAGGTATTTAGTATATAATTATTTTTATGTATAAAATGTTCAGAATATCTCGTGTTTGAAGACCACTTTCTCTATCTCCATGCAGGCAAAATAACACACATCTTTTTCACAGGTCATTTTCTAACTTTTCAACAAGTTTCATGTGACTCTTTAAATTTGCTTCAAACTGACTTAAAAAATTCACTAAGGGTAGCACATTCCCTCACTAAGTGTAGCAATATTCCCTCAATCTCTCCTATATACATATTTGTATAGTCTGGCACAATAAATGTTTTTATCTCTTTAACTAGTTTGTAATGAGAGAAAAGGATAACATGAACCAAAGAGAAAATGACTCTTACCTCTTTTGTATTTTCATTGTAAAACACTCCCAAAACCAAGATGTAGATAATTGGAATAAAGAAAGTTGAATGTGTATAAAATTTGTTTTCCTTCATAAATAAGTTTGCACGGTCACACATATAGAAATAAGCCATAATCAGGCCAAGTTTGCAGAACGACTGCAAAAGTACTTCTAATGGAGACACAGGGGTATTGATAATATTTTTCTTTTCCTCGCCACTTTCCAAATCAGTACACGGCTTAGTCTTCCGATGAGCATTACGATGTATTATATAAAAAATTAAATATCCAATAATAGATAAAGTGAAAAAACAAGCAGCTAGTTTTTGTATGAGAGTCAGGGGAGGCCGAGGCTGACAACAGGAACCATCTACAGGCTTCAAAATCTTATTGCAATACACGTTCATGAGAATCATTGCACTCTGTGAACAAATCAAGTTATTTGGTTATTATCTTGTCAGTAATGCATTTCACATTAGGTTTTCTCCTGTGAATACTACTAACTTTTCAGCATTAAACCAGAAAGCTTTTTGCTACTATTTCCCAAACACACAAGCAAATAATGGTGTTCCTTCTACTTGTAGTAGCTAATTCAGGGTTTTTCAAACTTCTTTGGCTATAGTCTATAATGTAAAATTGAAAAATTCATTTTACAATGTGATCCAGAGACACATAGGAAACAATACATGCCTTTACCATGTGGAATGCACTCTGACATTTGCTATTCTATTATTTTTTAAATATCTGATTTCCTGGTTGCTAATGAGTCATAACCTTCAGTTAAAAAAATAGTGACAAATGCCAAAGACCAAAGAATTTTAATTACCAGATTCTCAATACAGAAGATACCAGTATCCTTCAGAGTTCCAGTCTTTAGATGTGGGGAAAACAATGTAAAATAACTGCTACTAAAAATTAATTCCTAGCTAACAGTATTTGCACTATGCCATTTATTTGTTTTAAAGCTTATGGACTACTTAGGATTTTATAGCTTTTAGATTTCTAAGGTTAAATATGGCATCTTTAATAGGACTTCATGATAACAAAAATATTCTAGGAAAGCAGTCAAAAACACTCTAGTTGAAAGTACAGTCAAATCAAGTTTTATAAAAATATAATTTAGGCATCTTTGACCTATGATGATTAAATTACTTAAGTCTAAACATTCAAAGTACTCAGCTATTTAGAAAATCTCATCTTTTTAGCCCTGAGAATTCAGAAAAGGTCTATGCCTGCTACTGTTGCAGATACTAATCTGTAAGCTCATCACAAAATTCTTAACAAACTCAGAGGGTTCCTCAAAGCCCCTTAAAATATATGAGGAACCATAAATATGTATGCAAACATTTATTTTTCTAAACAAGAGGGATAGAGTAATTGCTTTTTATAAGATATGCAAAAAGGTTAGGACCACTACTTTCACAAGAAAACAATAATTATTATCTGGTGTACTATGCGAGAAAATTTGTAATTATGTAGTTCTCTTTCATATTCAACTGAAATCTCTTTCACCCATCAATCTGGATTTGTTCAGCAATGATATATATTAGGCTATACATAGGCTGTAAGAAATTTTAACAAAATAATAAAAACTACTCTACATATTAAAAGAATTAATTCTCCACAAAAGCTAATCTTATAAATTTAATGCAAAGAGAATACAAGCAGTAGGTTTCAACATGAGTGTGCGAAGGACTTGTAAGTGTCTTAGGAGATAAGATATATTAAGAGTGAGTAGCATTCAATAAATGAAGTTTCATTATGTCCCTTCCATAACTTTCTTCTTTCTTATTGTATACTCAAACTCCCACTTACACATTTCATTAGATGATGGAAAACAAAATTATTTCTAGATGTTTGCATAGACTATTTGGATCTAAGGTGCTATAAGTGTAATGAAGATTGCAATAGATAATTAGCGTGGCATGGTGACTTACAGCTATAACCATTAGAAATTAGTGTCTACGATAGATAAAAGGATTCTTACAGTTTCTCTACTTGATTCAGGAAGATGTAAGCCATCCAAAGATTCCATGATGGTTTCTTGAGCAATTAATTTGGAAACACTGAACATCTTAACATTTGATTTAGAATTTCTGATGCTACTATTCAAAATACTGACTGCAGCTTCATTGTAGGCATCTATCTTCTCATTAGTGATCATTTTCCTATTTTCACTTAATAGATCTTCATAAACTGGATCTGCACATGAAAGACAATTTTAAAAAACACATTTGAAAAATACCTTTGGAAGGAATTACGACCAGGCAAATTAGCTGACTGTATTTTATACATTCTAATAAAAGTTCAAATAACCCCTGGCACTTAATTAATTTTAAAATTAAGGTGCCCAAGATTTGCAATAGACTGTGACATTCATTTTTTTGTATCAATATTGCCCTCAAATTTAAAGATTTTATCCTTCTTCTCTTTTAGAAACAGTTTCCAGGAAATATTTTTATGTTCTCCTATCTTTTAAGAGTTTAATAGTTTGATGGTAGGGTATAGAAGGTTGTGGGAATTTCAAACTTGAAGATTGTTTAATTAAAATAGCAGCCAAGCCAGTCTTACTTCTGTTATTGCTTAATTTCGCAAACTTTGTTTATACAACTAAGAAGTAATATTACTAAGGAGTGAGGTCTCTTTATACTTATCATAAATCATTTTAATTTTTCTCATTTTAGTTAAGAAAAAGGGTAAGTATGAGTCTGTAAATAAAACAGAACTGTGGAAATGATTATCAGTAACCTTGTTGTCCCTCTCAGCTTGTCATTTACTTGGAAATACTCATTAAGTCTCTGACAATTTGAATTGCTAAAATACCCAAGGCATTTTATATTGTGTTAGGCATTAAGTAATGGACATTCAATAAACTCCTAAAATTACTTGATCTAATGTCAACTTTCTTTTAAAGAATTTCATTACCAAGTGTAAGCTAGATGGTATGAATTTAAATAGATTTTGTCAATTTCAAAGTATATTAATTTCCAGTGAGCTTAATAATATGAATTATAATTTGTTTTCTATATCTTCCAATCACAACAAATATACTTTGCCATAAAAAGTCAGATATAGACATTTCACTTGCCTTATTATTTTTGCAATGTAAAATTAATAACAGATTTCTCTAGTACCAAATCTTCATTTGCCTTTAGAACTTACTCTTTGCTATTCTACACGCAGGCAGCCAAATGAGGTTCTTCAGAGGATACTTTTATTTATTTTTAATTTTTTACTTATTACATTTATTAACCTGTCAGTTCCTTAAGTTCAAAAAGGAAAGCAAATAACTCATATTTATTCTAATTTTGCACACCTTATTTCAATATTTACTCTCCTGAAGCAATAATTTTGCTTCTTCAAACAAGAGACAATAAAAACTCTTGCCACAAAATATATACAAAATGACAGTTTTTCATTATTCATTCCTTACCTTGTAAGACCCAATAAACATCACTTGTCTTTGCCAATTTTTCTAAAAGTGGTGCTATAGAGGTAATGTTCATTTTATATTGTGAAAGCGCTTCACTGCTACCATTGTGAATCTTGATAGACCACTAAGAGGATGTAAAAATTAAGCATTAATTCAGTATTTGTCAGAGAAAAATTAAAGTATATAATCTGTTCTATTGTAACAGGTTATTATTTTGAGATAATTCCTATTTTCATTAAAACATTAGAATAAAATTTGATCAAATTAATGAAACTATGGAAGCAGTTGAAAAAATTTAACAGAAAGTTAGACTTTTGAATGTATAATGTTCATAAAAAGGAATGTTTAATTTTAGCTATAAAATATTATCATTTAACATTAAATTCCAAGCTTCATTCAGATTTTTTCTTAAAATAAATTTTCATTAATTATAAAGAAATAGGAATTAAAATATAAATATAATCATGAATTCCATTTAACATAAATTAACTTTTCTAGCATGTCCTTAAGTATGAAACAAAAATCAAAAGGTAAGGTACAGAATATAGCTTACTGTGGCAGCTCCTGCTACAATCACATGGGGCTTTGCAACAGAATCCTAAAAAAAGAAAAACCTTTATAATAGTGCTATATCAAGCTCAGGGAACTAATACAAGTAACATTACTTAATTTTTTTTCTTTAAGATTTATTATTTATTCATACAGAACTGGGGTACAGGCCAGAGATGCGGAGGGTGAGAGGCTTCACCAGAGACAGAGTGGGGAGCAGAACATGCAGATAGATGAAGTACACTGCTGAGGGGAGCAGCGGGCAGGCCAGGAGATGTCTGCCACACCATGTGGATCTCCTCTGGGGCAGGAGAGAATCGAACTCATGAGGAAGTGGCTTAAGTCTCTCAGTTCTGTGCTTTAACCCGCTGCACCACCAGGGAGGGACACTTAATATTTTTCTTAATTTGAGTCTCTCCTTTTAAATGTGCTTGACTTTTCTAAAGTTCCTTATTGGAACTCTTGTAACAAGATGAACAACCAATGATGTCTCAAACCTTTACATGGTTACATAGTTATTCAGGATGACATGAGGCTTATATGATTAATTTTTTGGTGTTCTTAAAATAAACCCCAAACATTACTGAACTATTACTCTGATTTCTGAGTACATTACTTCGAGTACAGGTCTATTATATTATGTCAACCATTAAAAAGTATTCATGACCACCTACAGGGTACGCAGTTTGGATATAGTCAATGCCCTAAAAAAAAAAGCAGTCTTTTAGGAAAGCTAAATCCAATATGTGTGTAACAAAATAAACTGGCAATTACTATAGACCACAATGTAGAAAAAAACAGTTGTTAGAAAATCTTTACCAGGTGTAAATTGTACTATTAATAATACTATCAACTCTATAGTACTAAGTAACTTAATAAGTTCTTTTCCCAAAATTAGCTCTTTTTTCATAGACTATTGGTAGCCATAAAAAAAGTAGGACGTTACTACAAGTATCTTATACAACAAGAATGCAGAATAGTAGAAAGGTTTATAGAATATCACTGCAGTCTGTTAAGAAGAGACAGAAATTAAGTCTCCTGACTTCTTTGCTAAGTGCCTTTCACAACACAGAATACCTGATGTTACAACCATGCATAGAAGAGACATCTAAAAGTAAGAAATTTAATTAGAAAAACAGTAAGACCATAAAAACTACTGACTCATTTTAAAGGTAACACATGAACCATGACAGAAGAGAAGAAAAATCACAAGTAAATGAATCTATGTCTTTTTAGAAATATTCCTGTTTCCAGTACAATATGCTCCATTTTATATTCTTATTTTATTAAAACTTCCCCTCTCTCTAGATGTCTCCTCTTCTCATTCTCACAGTGGTTATCCTAAATCTTATTTTGTTTATACAAGTCCCTCTTGTTCATACTCCTCATTTTCCATATAAAGTCTAATTCTCAAACTGCATAGAGAAAACAGAATTTATGTGGCCTGTATATTCCTGCCTCCCTGCCTCCATTTTTACAAATTCATACATATACTTACCTAGCCTATCTCCCTCTGACTAGAGGGTAAGGATAATATAGCCCTATTCTTTTAATAGCTAAATCATTTATTCTGTGACCATATCCCTTCACTTTTGACTTCTGTGGCTAGAGGTAGAATTATGTCCTCTAGTGTTCACATTATAAATTTTGTCCTCCTTTCCACTCTCCTTCCTTCCCCCAATCTATAGTTTTTTTTTCTTTAAAGATTTATTTATTTGTGCATACAGAACTGGGGTACAGGCCAGAGGCTTAGGGGCGGCGAGAGGCTTCACCAGAGACAGAGTGGGGAGCAGAACAGGCAGATTGACGAAGTACACTGCTGAGGGGAGCAGCGGGTGCGTCAGGAGAGGTCTGCCACGCCATGTGGAAACCTCCGGGGCAGGCGGGAATCGAACTCATGCGGAAGTGGCTTTAGCTTCTCAGTGCTGTGCTGTAACCTGCTGAGCTACCAGGGAGGGCCCCAATCTACAAAGTTTTAAACCATCTTTATCCTCGAAAAAATGTTCTTTCAACTCAGTCTCACTCTCAAATTCTTCCCCCTCACATCCTTAACAGATTACTAGAAAAGGCATTCTGTCCTCAGCATGCCAATTTCTCATTTATCTCTCATTTATGCTTCCAACCATCATATTTTGATTTGGGCTTCACCAATCATTAAAAGTGCCCTCATGACATTAATGAATTCTAGAATGCCAAGCCCTACAGCTTCATTCTGTTTTATCTAGTTTCTAAATGACACTTCTCACTATCTTCTTCAAAAAATTATTCCTCCTGGGCTCTCCCTAGTGGTGCAACAGGTTAAAGCACTGCATTATGAAGCTCTCTGAAGCCTCTGCTGCTCCAGTTCAATTCCTGGCCAGGGAGTTGACCCATGCGGCATGGCAGACCTTTCCTTACCCACCCCCCGTTGCTCCCTCAGCAGTGTATTTCAATAGATCTGCCTGTTTTGCTCCCCACTCTGTCTCTGGTGAACATTCTCACCTACCACACCTCTGGCCTGTACCCCAGTTCTGTAAGCATAAATAAATAAATCTTTAAAAAAGTTTTTTTCTTCCTGAGTGTTAATATTACAGTCCTTCTTATCCCCTTTCTTCAAGCCCCTTTCACTGCCCCTCTCTACAATTCTTTTGATAGCTCCCTTCTTAAACTCTCTTCCTTCACCTCTGTATTTTCTTCCTATTCAATTTCTTCTGTTCAAGTAACAAATATCTCCTCACTCTGTACCACTTCCCAAATTCATAAAATATTTCCTCATTCCTTATCAAGACTTCTCAAATTAACCTAAGTAGTTCATATTTCTTAATGATTACCATTACCTATAGAATTAAATCTAAATTGCTGGTTTCTTCACAATTTAGCCTAATTTTCTATGGCAACCCCCCCTCATACACACACACGCGCGCACATTATCTCAGCATTCTCATGTTTAAAACTTTCAATGGTTCTTCACTATCTCAAAATAAATTCAACCCACTCTCCTCCTCATTTTTAAGAAATACACCCTACCCTTAAGTGTTTAGAATGAATAAAAAATAGATAGGTAGATCTATTCCTCCTAACTATAGCTTAGGATATTATTTGTAATGTAGTATCTGTTTATCTCATCTCTCATAACTCGCTCCCAAAATTTAACAGACAAAATTAACAACTAAAATCCAACGTAAATAAAGTAGTACTTTACATTCTAGCTCTAGTAACGTAAAAATGATTGGCAATTTCCCAAACAGGCTATATTCTATTCTCAGCATTGTTCCATACGCCATTTCCTTTGCATAGAAAAACCCTCCTTTCTCACTCTAGGTCATCATCTTTACATCACTTTATCTGCAAACTAGTTTTGAGAACTTTAAACACTGTATTTATTGTATATGTCCTTTAATACACTTACACTCGATACTTCCTCCATTTTGGTACCAATCATCACACTACTTCCTTAATTACCTCTATCTACCAATCATCCAGCTCTTTTAAGAGCAGAACTCTACTATATTGATCAGAGTATCAACAGTATCTACTCTAATCCCTAAAATATGTAGGTGATTTATAAATACCTGTTTATTGAAGTAGGTTCCTTTATACTCAACTTTACTATTTGGCTGTACATTATTTTAGTATTAATGATTGTAGCTTTCTAATCCACAACTGTGGAAAAAATTAAGTATTATTTCATCCATATTAAATACAAATAGTTCAGGCTAAGAACACAAGTTTGATTAAAGGACCAAGAAGTGTCTTCAAAAGGAATGTTTTCATGCTGACATGAAGACTCCCATAAAGATTCTAAAGGGGACTTGTGAAAACTTGCCTACTTTTATAGCTAATTTATTTCCAAACACTATGGGTCAAAACATACCATGATCATCTTTTGGGTCACATAGATAATGATAAAAGAAAAGAAAACAAACTATTTAAAAAAAAAAAAAGCCTCCTGAATTTTCTGGACATGGGCTTTAAGTACAAAGTGAAAAAACCTCAAGAGGATGTGCACTGTGCTGGAAAGATGATAAGTGTTTGAATAAACGGAGCTATAGCAGTAACAGAACATTTTAAATCTTTAAAGGGGTATAAACATAATCATCAGGGGTTATGGTAATCACCCTAAGATGTTAACAGTGGAGAAAATGGTTCAATACATTCTCCATTCAATCAAGCGAATAAAATTAGTCCAGTACAGCTTCGTAGCTATCAATAAGGTTGGCATAAAATACAGTGGAGAAGTTAGTGAGTAAGGGAGAGAAAAACAATGGATCATCAGGAGCTTTTAAAAATCTAGTTGTTCAAAACCAAAAAAGCCTTGTTATTTTCAAACACAGACCTCAGTCCACATTTTGATACACTGTTTCATAGAACCATTAACTTCTGGATGCCACAGAAAATCCTAAAAGAGAAATGAAAAAAGAAAAAGTCAAGGAAACATATCTCTTACAGAGTACTTAAAAGAAAACCTCCCCTTCATCTACAATACTTCATCTCCCAGATTAATTTGACAAAGTTTCATAATAGTTCTCCTTATACTCACTTTAGCTTTCTTCTAAATTCTCCACAGTTCAGTCAGAATAAATCTGATCTTGACATATGGATGCTTAAATATTCAAGGACTTTCAACTGTCTTCAGAATAAATTCCAGTGTTCTCAAACCTGCTAAGGTATAGGATTTCTCCAGTGCCTGGACATTCTACCTTTTCTCTTGCCATTTTTCTCCTAGCATTTTTGGTTCCTGTTCAGCTCCTGGAATGTTCTATGTGCTTCTTTGCTAGACTCCCTGCCTCACAGAAGTTTATAGATATAGTTCCTTCTGTCTACAATGCTAGGTAAACTTACACTGAATCTGACTAGTCCCTACTTAGCACTACCGTCTCAGTTAAAATAACACTTCCTCAAGAAAGAAAACTACTTACAATTTCTTGCTCTACACATTCCTCCTAATGCCTCATTTTTTTCCTTTTTCCCGTCTTTATCCTACTTTAATTGTTTGTAGAGAATTATATTTTGTCATCTCTACTGTATTCTCCTACAGTATGTAGGAGAATTCAATACTGTAGGAGAATACACTATCACTGCAAATTGAGAAAATTCACATACTTGTCTTATGGATATTAAGCCTGAACATATATACTGGTTTTAAATTAATGTACAAGATGTAGTACTTCATACACAAAAATCTGAGAACCAGGATTCTATTTATTGCATAAAACAGTACACAAAACATTTATTCAATTACTTTATTATTCTTATCTACTCTCAGTGTAAATGCATGGAAATATATTTAAATATGCACAAAGCACTAGCAGACCTACAAATAAATTAACCAATGAATATAAAAGTTTCAACATTGAAACATTTAGCTAGTACATAAAACTTACTACTTTAATTGCTGCAATTTTGTCTTCAAAAGGAATGTTTTCATGCTGCCATTAAAAAAAAAGGGAGAGAAACAACAGATAAATATTAATGTGCAGATTAATTTTATGTAAATAATGCCCTCTTTAGCTGCATATGTTGACTTATTTATGTACCATATCTCAAATATCTACATTCATCTTGAAGAGGAAAATACCAGCATTGAATATCAAAAAATAAACATTAGTTAAATTGTATGTGCTTTTCAACATCTAAAATGTAGCATAAAAACAAAACTTCAACTACAAAAGAAACAGTAGAGGTAAACTTGGCCATATAAATGATAATTTTGCCAAGCTTGCCAAGATTTCAAATTAGTGCCTAAGGAGAGACATATTGCTTCCCTACTTTTCCTCACAATTTCACATTCCCTACATTTCACTTAGCCAAGGCCACATGACTAACTCTGGCCAGTGTAATGTGACCAGATGTGATGTGGGTCACTTAGGAACTAAATTCCCAAAGCAATTCTCTAATGTCCAGCTTAATCTTAATATGCAGAGTCTGATAAACTGAATATTCTGAATGATACAACTATATAATGGTTAATACTTCAACAGCAGGAATTCCTAAATGACTATATGGAGCAAAGCTTCTTGCCAACATAGATAGCGAGGACATTTGCTAGGTGAAATATTAACATCTAATGCTTGTTGTTGCAACAGCATTTAGCCAACTCTCATCAATAAACCAGTATAAGCACTCCAATTAAAAACAGGAATTCTTTAAAAACTAGAAATCTAGGATAAGGAATAGAAGAAATTAAAAATAAGCTATTGATGTTCCTAAATCAACAATGATGTTCCTAAGTCAATGTTCATTAATTTAATCAGAGAGTGTTCATATTTATATATCCATAAAATAATGTTTGCTTTTATCAACAGTTTAATGTTGGTCCTGCTCAAGCACCCCTAGCCAAAAGAACCCTCTGAACCACTAATTCAATGGAATTTTAAGGTATGTCATATGAAAAAAGTTTCCTTGGTCAAATAAATCTGGAAAATACAAGGTCAAAACACAAAGGAAGTAATGGAGATATTCAAATAAAACTATAAGATATTATTAAAAGAAATAGAAGACACAAAGAAATAGAAAGACATTCCTAGTTCATGGGTTGAAAGAATTAATACTGTCAAAGAGATTATTCTACCCAAAGCAATATACAGATTCAATGAAATTCCTATCAAAGTTTCAATAGCAATCTTCAAAGATATAACAAACATTGATGAAACTAATAAACTTCAAACTACTGCAGGCTACAAAAATCAAAATAGTATGGTACTGAAACAAAAACACATAGATATAAACTCATACCTATAGAGACAGTTAATCTACACTGCAATAACACAAATCACTTAAATAAATGGTGTATAGAAATGGGACAAGTATATGCAAAAGAGTGAACCTAGGTCAGTATCTCACACCATACACAAAATCCAACTTGCTTGGAATCATAATATATATATAAGAAAACACAGGCAAAACACTCCTTGAGATAGGCTACAAAGTCTTGTGGATATTTCTCTAACAGCAAGAAAAATACAAGAAAATATAAACAAAATAGCTACTGCACAGAAAAACCAAATAAGCAAAAAACGAACACACACACACACAAACTGATACTAAAACAAAAAGAAAGCACACTAACAGGAGTATGTATGTGCACACCATACAAGCAATAAGGGGTCAAAAATAAAAGATCTATAAAGAATTCATCCAACAAAATGAAAAAGAAACAGGTAACTCCATCAAAAAAACGGGCAGAAGAATTAAATAGACACTTCTCCAAAGAAGACATACAGGTGGCCAACATGGACATGAAAAAAAAAAAAAATGCTCACATCATTATTTACTGTCAGGGAAATGCAAATGAAAATCACAATGAGATACCATCTCACACCTGTGAGAATGGCCCATATCAAAAAGACCAGAAACAAGCACTGGCAAAGAAGTGGAGAAAAAGGAACTGTCATACTGTTGGTGGGACTGCAGAATAGTCCAGCTCTTAAGGGAAACTGTATGGAGATTTCTCAAAATATTAAAAATGGATTGTATGACCTAGGAATACAAAAATACCAAATTGAAGGGAAACATACACTCCTATGTTAATTACAGCACTATTTATTATAGCCAAGCTATGGAAACAACCTAAGTGCCCATGGACAGATGGGTAGATTAGGAAAATGTGGAATATGTGCACAATGGAATACTATTCAGCTATCAAAAAAAGGAAACATACCATTTGAAACAACATGGGTGGACATAGAGGGGGTTATGATAAACAAAGTTAATCAGAAAGAGAAAAGACAAATACCAGATGGTGTAACTTTTACACTGAATACAGAGAAACCAAAGAGTCTGATAATAGCAAACTCAGAGTTTTTATTTTACATGTAAGTCTAACTTTATCTAGAATAATTCTGTGATGGAATGAAGAAGAGGCCTAGTTTCACTTTCTTCCAGATATATAACCAATTTACCCAATCATCATTAATTGAATATTCCTTCATGTCCTCAAAGATCTTCAATAGCACATTTGACACTTAATAGTCTATACACACACACACACACACACACACATCTATTTTAGAGTTCTTGATTCTTTGTTTAGTTCTATCATTATCATAATGCTTACTTACAAAGAGCTACAGTTAAGTCTTGATACTGTAGAAAAAGTCCCTTCTACCTTTTTCTTCAGAACTGTCATAATTAATCTACACCTCTTCCATATAAAATTCAGAATCAATTAATAATGTTCCACAACAAATCCTCTTATGATTTTATTTGTGTTAAAATGAACCTATAGGTCAATTTGGGAATAACTGAGATATTTACAATATCAGATCTTCTTATTCCAGAATGTAGCATATATTTTCCATTTAACTATATTTTAAATTATCTTCCAATAAAAATGTATGGTTTATTTTACATACTCATTTTGCACATTAGGTTTATTCCTAAAGACTATACCATTTTAGTTACCATTGCCAGTGGTAAATTTTCTATAGATTCTTTGGGATTTTCTATGTAGATAATATATCATATGAAATTCTGCTTCTTTCCGATTATTAATCTTTAAATTATCTTTCTTTGGCTGATAGCCTCTAATATAATGTTGAATAGAAGCAACAGTAAGGACATCCTTATCTTCCTCTTGAGTCTAACAGAAAAATGCTTAACAATGCTTCATTAAAAATATCTACTGTGGTCCTCCCTGTGTGCACAGCAGGTTTTAGCATAGCACTGAGAATCTAAAGCCGCTTCCGCATGAGTTCGATTCCCACCTGCCCTGGAGGTGACCACATGGTGTGGCAGATTTCTCCTGGTCCGCCCGCTGCTCCCCTCAGCAGTGTACTTCATCCATCTGCCTGTTCTGTTCCCCACTCTGTCTCTGGTGAAGCCTCTCACTGCCCCTGAGCCTCTGGCCTGTACCCCAGTTCTGCATGCACAAATAAATAAATCTTTAAAAAAAAATCTACTGTGGGTTTCTAGAATTTTTTATCAGTACATAAGGAACTTATCTAACAAAGAACAGTACTAAACCTCTGTTTCGTTGGGTCTTATTTAAAGTTCCATCATGTGGGCAAAAAGAGGTTCCATAAGCGCTTTGAAAAATATATATTCTCTATTTTTTTTAATGTGTTCAGTATGAGGTGTAAGTATAAAATTAACAAGGTAATAGTCTACAATAGTTCCTCATTTTTTTGCTTGCTTTATGATTAAATTATTGAGAAATGAGACAACTCTGCCATTATAAGGGAGCATATGTCAACTTTGCCCTCTAATTATGCTAATGTTTGCTTTCTATATAGTAATGTGAACTTATTATATGCCTGCAGGTTTGAAATCTTCTTAGCAATTTGAGCTTTTGTCAATAAAAAGTAAACACATCCCTGATATTTTTTGCCTTAAAATCCATTTTATCTTAAATATTAATGAGCTATCTTTCCTTAATATGTATTTGGTAAATTTTGTCTCCTTTTTATTTAAAACATTCCTGTACAATTCATCTTAGAATATCCTTTATGTCATTTTAAGTAGCAGAGAGTGCTGTTTAAAACAATATGGGGCCTCCCTGTTGGTATAGGGCTTAAGTCTCAGCATTATCAGACTATCACTAGGATATATAGCCTGAGTTCAATCCCAGGCTAAGGAGTTAACCCACACATAACACAGCAGAACTCTCCTGCCTCATCCACTGCTCCCATTAACAGTGTATTTTAGTAGATCTGTCTGTTCTGCTCCCACCTGTCTCTGGTAAATCCTCTTACTCTCTACACTTTGGGCTACACCCCAGTTCTTCCATGAATAAATAAATAAATCTTAAAAATAAATAAGACCAAAATGTGGGTTTAGTTGACAAGGTACACTATTTCCAGTTATTTTTACTATAAATGTCTCCATGGTCACACTTTTTCATTTGTGGCTCTCTCAAATAAGGAATATTTTCATATTCATAATATATATGTAAATACATATTCTTATATTAATGTTCATATATAGACATATTTTCATAAATACATATACAGTTATTTATGTGTGGGTCGTGTATATGTGCACACATGTGTATGTATGTGTGGTTATATATTTGGCATTAAATGAGTTATTTGTTTTTTTTCTTTTAATTTGGTATTTACACATCTTAATTCTTAATTTTTTGTATGATTTGCCCTTGAAGTTTTACAGTGCATCGTTAAATTCTAAAGACAATGCCTTGAATAGTTAACAAAGCATTAGAAAACTTTCTCATCACCCCCCTGACTTATAAGCTATTAACTGCTAGTTCTTTAAAGCTAGTAACCTCAAGCACAAAAGGAGCTAATTATTATATTATACAGACACATGTTTAGATTTGCAGAAATGTTTACTGCTTTCTTTAACTATTACTTTTAAATTTCAAGTAATTTTTTCCTGAATCATCTTCCTCTTTACTGAATGATTTTCCTAGTGTATCCTTTAGAAAACCTTTAAATCTATGTGGCAATAACCTTCATACCTTTTGTT